GCTAGGAATTTCCACTATTCACCGCTTGCCTCTATCACCCATGTTTCATTTCACGCTATTAAACAGTACTGGCCCTTCCCCCGGGAACACGGAAGCAACTGGCAATCATACTGAGTCTGCAGAGTCCGTGTCCTTCATAATATGCAGTGAATCGACAGGAACGGCTACGCCCTGATTTATCGCCAACGCACCATCCAAATGCTTCTCGCTCCACGAGTTATTCTAGGCTTGGCCTGCAGCCGCTCGATGGTGTTGGCAACCTTCTTTTCTTTATCCTCAGCCTGGTATACACGCAACCAGATGAAACCATGCTGCCCTGAAACAAAACTGACTGTTTGGGAGTTTGATCCCGCCTTGAGCATATGCGTAATCGTGCGCACCGGCCAGCCGTCAAACATGCGAATACCATTTATCGGCACAATACAGCAACACAACGAGAGCCGCGCCTCTTTCTTGGCCAGCGCCAGCTGTTTTTCAATTTGCTCTTTTTCCTGGCACCGAACTCACAACAAGCAACTCCAGCATCACTCTCTCATGCAAACCACACATTGAAATCTCACTACTTGCCCGACGCAACATGCATGAAGATTGAATGCCAAACAAAACAACAACAAAAGCAATGTCCGCCTGCACCAGCTGGCCAGTTTCCGCAAGCTTCTGATCCTTCTCTTCTGCCTTCGCGCAGGCTGCGACAGCTGATTGCTCTCTCACACACTCACACGCACAACACACACTTGCAAACAGCCAGCTTTAATAATAACGGGCATACCAACTGCAACTGGGGGCATCATGCGCTGTCAAGGCAGCAAGCCTCCTTCTTGGCCGCATCAAGCAGACTTTGCAGCTGCTCTTTCTCAGCCTGCTCAAAAAAGTTGAACATGCGCTTCATCCAGGAGCAGTAGCAACACGCCAGCACGCCAGCCTTTTTTGCACGTCGCGCTGCACATACGCAACTCTGCCCATGCCGTGCGACATTGCTTGTCCGCTCGTGTTTCTAAAGATGCTTTGGCGTTGAAGTCTTTGACAAGGTTGGAAGGTGTGCGCACAAAAAAAAACACAACAAGACCAAAGGCCATCCTGCACCGTCTGGCCAGTTTCCGCAAGCTTCTGATCCTTCTCTTCTGCCTTCGCGCAGGCTGCGACAGCTGATTGCTCTCTCACACACTCACACGCACAACACACACTTGCAAACAGCCAGCTTTAATAATAACGGGCATGCCAACTGCGACTCCGCGCATCATGCACTGTCAACCACCAAGCCTCCTTTTTGGCCGCTTCAAGCAGACTTTGCAGCTGCTCTTTCTCAGCCTGCTGCGCAATCGGGCCGTCAGCCAGAACATGCGTTCGACTATGCTGGCGCGAAGCTGCCCATATGCTTTGTAACGGCTGGCAACTTGCGGGCCAAGTGCATCTTTGCCATGCAGGACCAGTGGCAACACGCCAGCACGCCACCTTTTTTGCACGTCGCGCTGCACATACGCAACTCTGCCCATGCCGTGCGACATTGCTTGTCCGCTCGTGTTTCTAAAGATGCTTTGGCGTTGGACGCTCAAGTCTTTGACAAGGTTGGAAGGTGTGCGCACAAAAAAACACAACAAGACCAAAGGCCATCCTGCACCGTCTGGCCAGTTTCCGCAAGCTTCTGATCCTTCTCTTCTGCCTTCGCGCAGGCTGCGACAGCTGATTGCTCTCTCACACACTCACACGCACAACACACACTTGCAAACAGCCAGCTTTAATAATAACGGGCATGCCAACTGCGACTCCGCGCATCATGCACTGTCAACCACCAAGCCTCCTTTTTGGCCGCTTCAAGCAGACTTTGCAGCTGCTCTTTCTCAGCCTGCTGCGCAATCGGGCCGTCAGCCAGAACATGCGTTCGACTATGCTGGCGCGAAGCTGCCCATATGCTTTGTAACGGCTGGCAACTTGCGGGCCAAGTGCATCTTTGGACAACACACATGCAGGACCAGTGGCAACACGCCAGCACGCCAGCCTTTGTTGCACGTCGCGCCGCGCATACGCAACTCTGCCCATGCCGTGCGACATTGCTTGTCCGCTCGTGTTTCTAAAGATGCTTTGGCGTTGAAGTCTTTGACAAGGTTGGAAGGTGTGCGCACAAAAAAACACAACAAGACCAAAGGCCATCCTGCACCGTCTGGCCAGTTTCCGCAAGCTTCTGATCCTTCTCTTCTGCCTTCGCGCAGGCTGCGACAGCTGATTGCTCTCTCACACACTCACACGCACAACACACACTTGCAAACAGCCAGCTTTAATAATAACGGGCATGCCAACTGCGACTCCGCGCATCATGCACTGTCAGCCACCAAGCCTCCTTTTTGGCCGCTTCAAGCAGACTTTGCAGCTGCTCTTTCTCAGCCTGCGCAGTCGGTCCTTTCGTGAAAACGCTGGGCTCCAAACGAGCGGGCGGAGTTGGCTTGAAAGGGCTTCAGCGCGCCGTTACTCGGCTTACGCGATGATGCTTCCATTCCCATATTTGTAGTACACGACGTTCACTTTGGCAGTTCCCACTCGAAAATCGCAACATCTCAGTACTGCACTTACGCGAACTTCACTTTGGCAGCTCCAGCTCGAAATCACAAATGTTCCATACAAGTGCAGTACACGAAGTACACAACGACAGAAACATTGCCAGAGCTTTTGCGAATCTTGCGCGCATCCTTACGTGCCGAAAGCACCGAACGCAGGCACCGTCCGTAGAGGATCGTCGGATCCTGTAAAACTGTTCTCAAATCCGTGCAAGAAACCGCTGTCTCGACAAGTTAGTCTTTTTTCAAAGCACATGGGTGTGAGCAAACTATGTTTGAAAGAAAGAGCTTATGCACGATGCTTGCGCACCCTATTTCCTCAACATCTGCTTACGGAGGATGTGTCTTACGCATAGAATATCAACATGACGCAGGTGAACACACACTCACACAGCTCTCACGTAGCGCTGCCTTCATTTGAAGGCTTTCGGCAAGCTTCATTTCTTCCTGCGGTTGCCCATGTCACTTCAATCCCGAAGCTTGCTCTTGATTCACGCTGCAAGTATGACTCAAGCCTGCACGCTTTGAAACTGATACTCACACAGAATCCTCATCCTTTGCTGCCATCAAGTTCTGCAGCCTTGCAGTCTCTGCCTCGCAAGAAGAGAATAATTACACCCTCTGATTTGCATGCACTGACTAAACCACGCCAATGGTCAGCCTTGCTGTACAGCTTACTAGGAGCCGAATGCTTGACAGCAAAGGCGCAGTCGCCCCATCAACATCGCTGGTCCATGGGCTTTACCCTTTCCACAAAAAGCCTTGCCTCTGCTCCCTGCTTGGCTTCAGCAAGCTCTCTTCCTCTTTCCTCAACCTCAAAAAAGCAAGATCAAATTGACGGGGCCTTTCGCTATTTGCTTCAAATCTGAGAGAGAGAGAGAGAAAAGACACAAAAAGAAGAGAGAGAGAGAGAGAGAGAGAGAGAGAGTGAGTGAGTAAGAGAAAGAAAGGGAGTCATTTGTTCAAGGGGAATGCCTTTTGACTCACTTACTGCTAAAACTACACGAATCTGTAGTCTTGTGGCCGTGTGCAATAGGACATGTTGTGCCAGCAGCACTATTCCTGACATTTAACGGCATTCATCAGCACAACCTGCGCAGTAGACAACAGTCGTCAATACCCTACGGCAACTCAAGTTGCCAAAGTCTCCTCACGGCTTTTTAACATGGTGTGTAATCAACTATGTTGCAAACATGGAACCAGCAGCGAATGAAAGGCAAATGACCACAACTACCCTTGCCTGCTTTTGTGCGACGATCAGCTGCTCCTGCACGCCTTGTTTCGCCTCCTGAGCAATTGGTCGTCGGGCAAATGGTTTAAATGAGCCATGCCCGCAATGTAATTGAAAAAAAAACGCGCAATGCGGACGCACTATATTGCCTCAGCATTTGCCTATGCCACCTTACGCCACCTTACGCCCGTGGAGGTTTTGCCCATGCAGGGGGTAGATATGACACAGCCTTTGTTGAACATGCGCACCCAAGTTTGGGATGTGATGCTCAACTGTCTTCGCTCACCCTGGGTTCTCTGTGCTCTCCACAACTGTCATGTGCGGAAACTTGAACATATCCGCCAAGGCCCCTGTGCCTGAGGCGATTAGATCACTGGAGCAAAGCGACCGACCCCCGTCCTTTGAGTGCATGTTGCTGAGTTCTAATTCTACTGGGCTGTTTTGCTTTTCGTTTGCCTCAAGCTGCTGTTTTGTGTCTGGAGATTGACACTGGGTGTTGCGTTCTCCGCAAACTCTCCCGCTTTTGTTTCAGCAGGGGGAAATTGGTTCTTGAAAACAGCACAGTTCGAATTCAACTGGGCTGTTTTCAATCTTCGTTGCCCCAAGCTGCTGTTGTGTGACTGCGGTCTTTGCTGGTTGGCAACCTGCGTTTGTGTGCCTGCGGCTTGTGCAGGGGGAACCTGCTCCTCAGCCCTAGCCACGGAGGTGGGCTTGTGGTAGCCTCAAAATTATCCTGCCTCCAGCTTTGCGGCTTCTGCTTCCAACTTCTCCAGCGCCTGGCGCAGCATACATGCAGTCCAAGATGCGCAAGGGGAGGCATCTTGGCAACCTCGGGGGGGCGGGGGGGGGAGGGGGGTATTTGCAAAATCGCCCGCCCCCCCGCTTAGGCCACGATTGAGCGCAGGCTTGGCAATTCAGCCATTAGCGAGATGTCCCGTGACGTGACACTGAAGCATATTTGAAGTTCCATCAACCGTTTGCTGTAGTCCTCCACGTAGCTAAGAGATCGGAGCTCCTCGCCGAACGGCTGTCGCGCTGAATTACCGGCCTCATCCTTCTCTCTCAACGCTGCCTCGAACTCTGCTTTTGAAGCCTTGCCCCAGCAACTCGGTCGCTCTGCTGGACGGGCGGCTTTGAGCATGACCACGCAAAAACATAATGTTAGTACTACCGGGACGAGTTTTGGCCGGGTTGCAATTGCCACTGTCCACAGCCTGCCTCTAGTGCCGCTCTGACGCGCTCCAGCTCCAGTCTTTCCTGAGCCTGGTCCTGGCTTGGCTTCAGCTGAACACTACTCCAGGCGTTTGGTTTGGCCGTGAATTGGGCACATGGGAACAACACACCCGAGCGCCTCTCACGTGAGCATAGTCATGAGACAAGCTTTGGGGAGACTGGCAAAGTGTCGGCATCAACTGACTTGCAGCAAGCGAGGAGTTTGCTAGCTGCAATGAAGTCCATGTTGAACCTCTTATACGGCTATACTCCATATATATATATATATATATATATATATTAGACTTCTTTGACGTTGCGAGTCTGCATACGTCTTGCGAAGCCCGCTCCTCGCCAGGGCTCTCTTCTCTTTGCGCCTTAGACGCCGTGGCATGCCTTGATCATCCATCATTTTCCCTTGTCAGCCTGAAATATGGGACCCTAGCAGCTCAGGCGAAGGGAACAGTTCTGCCTCTAAGCACAGACCCCATCAACTTAATCCAGACGCGTGAACACTGCTCAGAAGGCTGCAGGAATCTTTATGGTGAGAGGGCTGCCAGGCAGAAGGGTCCGGGCGTAGGGGGGCGGCGGGCGACACAGTACCTTGTTGTCATATACGAGAAAGCGGCTTAAACCTGGACGGTTTCAACTCATCAAGCTTGCACATCTCTGGCTTCATTGTTTTTGCTTTGTCGGCTACTCCATTGAGGAATGCATAATTCTGGGTGAACTAGTACAACCACGATTGACCCATTTGACATGCCGGGAACCTCACAAATTAATCATTTTCATGACCTTTCAACTACTTGATTCCTCCTCTCACTTGGGTCACAACTATCTCATTGAATTGGAATTTCCCCAGCTTTTTTCCTTGTAAAGTGAGCACGCCAGAAAAAGCCATGGGTCTTTGACTCGCATGAAAGGCCTGCTGTTGGCTACGACTGGCCATTCAACAGCTCCCTGCACGGCGACTCGCGCGCCTCCAGTTGGACCTTCTGGGCAAGCTCATTCTTCGCCTTTCGTTTCCCGACTTGAGACCCGAAGGAGCTGCCGAAGGGCAATCTCTTCAAGGGATCCCCATGACACCCTAAAGCATGAATTGCGGTCGTAGATCCTCGCCAAAGCGAAACACCAATAAACACACACACACACACACAAGATTGATGGTTTCTCGCGCCCTTGGACCCACAGCCAAACTAAATGAACACGATCCTCGCAGACCCAGTTCGAAGATGTCTGTCAAGGAGTCTGGGCCCAAAGCTCAGATTGAGATTCTTCGCAAAAGCCGTTGGCAAATAAAAACAGCCAACCTTCTGACGTTGATGCGGGCGTGGGCTCAAAGCAGCAGCTGGTTTCTCCTCTTGGAAGACAAGTTCGTCCAATCCGTGCGAGTTTGCCAACTGGTGAAGCAACTCAGGCTGGTCTGCGGCTCTTGGCCAGAGAGTGCTGACTGCAGTTATCTACACCACACGCTTCGTGGTGCTTGTGCAAACAAGACGGTGAGCATTTCGTTCGGAATTTATCGAATTTAGGCAGCTACAGTATATTGGCACAAGGATGGATTCACCATGATTTCATTGCCACTCCACACGACATCAAACGCCTTGCTGCTCGGTTAGCTGACTCTCACTAACTAAGCACACGACAATTCATCAAGAGAAACAGCTTTAAATTTCTTTGACAGCTCAACAAACTTTGTAAGAACCCCACGGAGTTTCACATTGGTCCCTGTCTCCGTCCCTCACGCCCTCCCCGCCTTCTTGGCAGCAGCCACCTCTTCCTCCAGGCGACCCTGAAGGCACATGGCAACCGCGGCCAAGGCCAGCGGTTTGAAACCCAGCCGGGAGAACGAACGCCACAGCCCCTAGCGAGGAGCAATAGCCTCCAAATCGCCCAAGGGTTTTGGGCGCTTGAACGACATGTACCAATGTGATACCACGGCTGGCATATGGTGCCACCAGGGGTTGAATATCCATGGCAGATAGTATCAAGTCATGCCATTGTCGACACAAAGGCTCTTTGGCCAAACATGGCCACTGTCGAGGCCTCAAGCGGCACTTTTTGCCATGCAATCCCAAGTTTGACAAAAGTTCAGAGGCCATTGAAACAATTTCAAAATTTAGCCCATCTCAGCACAAGATGCCTCCAGCTCGCGCATACGTTCACGAAGCTCCTCCTGGGCATAAGCTGCAAGGCGAAGGTTCAGCGACCCAGTACGCGTCTGCCAAAAAAGGTCCCACGCAAACGTCTCCTCACCTTCATCTGACCGTGGTTACACTATTCACATTCTCAACTTGTGGAGACCCGGCGATTGCTCTGCACAGTCTGTCAACGTTCCTATTCTGTCACTCCAGTCACCTGGTATCCTGACAAGAAAAGGCACATTCCGCTTGGAGGAACACATGGATAGACCACAAGAGTCACGTCGAAATGGTCAATACAAAACAGCCCTGCGCGCCTTTTCCACCTCAGCAGCAGCGAGCGCTCGCTCTGCCTGCCAGATAATCTGCGAGAGCTTCGCGTTAGACCGTTACAATCGCTGCTTAAAAATCATCATTTTTCGAGAACACTATCATCTTTCCGCTTTCAATACATTGGCCTATCAATAGCCATAGTATGCTGTCGTCCATCCTGAACCCGACCTGTTGGGGCGGGACGAGGGGGGGGGGGCAATTCCACATTCACTGTAAAACTAAATTGGCATTTGACATCGCAAAATCATATTATAATTGCACAATGCACATGCTCATGGTGCGCCGACTTCAAATTTCAGCTGTTTTCAACTTTGTCCAAACTGACCAAAGGCCTTAACCGTTTAACTCATTGGGGTGATGTGGAACATTCCAATTTGAGGACTAACATGCACATCCTTGCAACCCCCCGCACCTCAAGCATGTTTTCCTAGGGAATATGAATTTTGGAGTACGAATATATTTATCATTTAGTGGGGGGCTTGCCAATAGGTGCATCGACCAAGGGCTCAGCGGTCAGTCGCTCCCTCGACACCTCGGAAAGCCCCTCTTGTAGGCCGCGCTGAGCAGCAGAGGCCTGGCAGCTTGCGGCCACTTGCAATCAGTTGGGGTGATACCGACTCGAAAACTGATGTGCTCGACTGGTGAAACTGACAGCAACCCTGGGCAGCCAACTCCCTTGAAGGGAACAAAGAAAAGTTACGCAGGCATCTTGAGCAAAACAGGCGCACTAAGGTTGGGTTCTATCAAGACGGCCATGTGGTGCTTGCTTTGCCGCTAGAGAAATGCGCAACAAACCGTCCATCAATGGCATCGGCCTCTCGGCACTGTGCGTGTAGTGCAGCCAGCTTAGCCTGATGCGAAATGACTTCGTGAACAGGCAAGCGCGGGAAGACGGGTCGAAGGAGAACACATGCATAAATATACAAGCAACAAAAGCAACCGCGACATCAAGCGACGAAGCCAGACAGCAAGCAAACACAGCAACAATGCAAACAAAACAAGCAACCAAAGCGGCTGGACTGGAACCAGAAAACCGGGCCCCACTTGATCTGTATATCAACTCCATACAGGCCTCTCCAGATCTTCCACCCTCAAATTGTGCTTGTATTCGGAGAGAGTACCTTCTGGGTTTTACTGGCCCTTTTTGAGCCCCAACTAGGCAGCCAATCATGCAAACAAGTACGCACAAGAAAAGCAAGACACTAACCTCAAGACAAACTAAAGAAGCACATATACATCTCAAGTTGTGTGTGCAAATAGGTCCGGTGGCTGCAGCGATGCCTTGGAATATCACTGCTTGCCATGCCCAATCAAACTCTATTTAGCTGGCCTCGTACTCTTTCACGGCGCTGCTTGGCGAGCTTGGCTCCTCGAACAGTGCTGCAGGTGCTTGACCCTTGTGACTTCCGTTTGCTGTGTGGTGAGGTTTCTGCTTGGAGGTAGGTTGACCAAGCTTCAATTTGCACAATCGCACTGCACAGCCTTGTCGTGCTGCCGTGCTTTGGTTTGAGTGTTCTGGATTCCGTAAGGTATGGGCCTCATGTCGGCCCATTCGCATATCCAAAGGCATCCCGAGCTGAATTGCAGCCCATACTCAGCCGAGCAGCTGCAGGCTTTGAGGCCTGGAAGAAAACACGCGACTCCGCTCATATCACGGTAGCATGCTGCACGTGCTGTTTGTTTCAAACACCCTTGCGGAGCACAAGAATCGCAATCGCAATCTTGATCCCTCCCTGCCAAGCCTCTTCTTTGGCACGCATAGCCTCTGCCTGTCTTCTTATCTGCGGTGTGAAACTCACACAACGACTTCCGGCCACCAGAATCTCGGTGCGTGTCTGACCCAGTGCATGGATACTGCCACTACCAATCGACAACCCCTGAAACTCAAACAACACAGTGCCGTGCCACACCGCTGGCCTTCGCAGTCTCAAGGTCCTTCTGCTGGTATTCCATGCGAGCCTCGTGACTCGACGCATGAGCAGATTTGAATGTGTGTTAAAATAGGCATTGGACGCCCAATGGCAAACCGGTTTTCCTGTTGGTTTCCCTCTAAAACCACTCAAAAGACAAGCCCATGTGCAGCAGTACCGAAGGCAAGGCAGGCAGCCACTCGCAGGACACTTTGGACCGAGCTGCAACTTAGCAGTTTGCTCCGAGCGCCCTGCGTGCAGGGCATCCCGCTCTTTCTCGATTCGGTTCTTCTCTTCCAGCACGCGGGCAAGGCTCTCCTGAAATCTTCATTAAGGATGCCATCCAAATCCATTGGGTCACATAATGCGACTTTGAATTGCAGGGAAGGAGACAAACTGGAAGAGGCACCATAGAAGAGCAACCGCCTCCCCCCACCCCAAGCCGCCCTGACTGCTCCTTCGTGTGCGTGATGGTCTCTTGATTGTCCTCCAGCTCTGCCTGCAAAATGAGCAATTTTGAACACTGACATCAAGCGGAGAACTCTTAACATCTCTTGGCAGGGTGCATCGAGTCCTGGCAAGTCCAACAATGGAATTCGGTCGCATGCGGGATGCGAGTGCAGTTTGGCGGGATCAAGAGTTCCGGGACTGGAAGCCCAATCCCTAAGACTTGAGACCACCTCATTGTGAAGCTGCTGCATTCCCTTCAAGAGCCTTTGTAGCTTCTCGTTGCTGTTGTTTTGTTGCATTGGAAGGGTAAAAAAGATGGTCTGGATCAAGTGTCGGGCTACGAGCAATGGTGACCGCTGTGTGGGGTCAGCAAAAGGCACTTCAGTCAGGTCCCAGGCCCGCCTGACATTACACATTGTTCAAATCCGTTCAATCCCGATCCAATGTATGCAGGGTCATGCAGAAAGCGGCCAGCTTTCACAAGGAATCCCCTCCTCCATGTTCCGCTGGATCTTCTCGGTCTGCTGCCTCCCATGTTTATGTGAGCGAACAAGGAGGCTTTTGCTGCCCAACTTCTGTGAGTCCCGCTAAACCTTCAACCCTTTTGGCCCATTCCGATGCTCAGTTGGCCCCCAAAACAAGTTCACCAACTCAGCACCGAGCTTCCAAGTTTGGAGAAAGCGATGACCAGTGCTGTACATGTTTGGTCTTCGAAGCATTCAACAAGGCGGCTATATGCGGCTATACTTATATAAGGCCTCTGAGTAGACTCTTTTTCGAGATTTGGACTCGCGGTTGCAATCGCTGCAGCTTCTTCCTGCAGAAAGGGCGCGGCCAATTCAGACCTTGTGCACGATACCTTTGCGTGCAGTCCAAATGCATCGGCGCATTGCGTGAAGGCTGCGCTCAGCCTTCAAAGTTGCCACACGACCACAACACCCACAAGCCAGTAACAGCTTCAAACATCCATGACACCTGCATAATTCTTGTGGGCCAGTCAGTACTGGACCCCAAATCAAGGGCGATACTTGTCTTGCTCAACGCAAATGTCTGCCAACCCTCAAAGGACCTGCTTTGGCGCGGCAGCAACGCAAACAGGTGCTTAGCAACAAGGCCCAACTCCATCCAAAGCATCGCCCAACTCAGTGACCCTTTGGTCAAAGTACCTTCGGCACCTGGCCATTGACAGGCCAGAATGAATCCTAGCTGGGCAGCAACCACATACCACACCCTGACTTAGAGATTTGCTTCCTCAAAGCATCTCTGCAAGAGACACAGGCCCAGGAAAAAAACAATTGCCATCAAAATCCTTTGTTTGAGGTTGCCCAGCTGCTTCTTGTGAAAGACGGGTGTCTATGTTCCGCGCAGTTTGCGGGGACTGCAATCAGCGTTGGACTGGCAGCAAACACTGCGCTTCCTGAGCTCAACGTGGCAGGAGGCAAGTCCTTGTTGGACTGAGCAAAATGCGGAACAGTACAGGCCACGTCGAGAATTTCTTCAGTCCTACACCCCAAGAGGTTTGCAATGCTTGGAAACACCAATGCAGAATTTCGTTGACAGCAACACATTGGAGGATTAGTTTTAGTCATGATTCCCCCCTTTCAGTTCTATCTTCTTGCTCAATCTTAGACACCTTTTCTTAAAACCGCCACTTGGCCTGAAACTCAGTCTCCACTCCCCTCGCCCTGAAACGTGTTGGCCTCCATGCATGATCTTCAATTCGTCACACTTTGCTCAGCGCTTCAAACCAACTTTGAGTTCTCTTGGACTCCGGCTTTGCAGACCACTTGGAAGGAGTGTCCTGGCAAGGCTGCCGATTTGTCTCAAACACACAGACTTCCTGATTCGTCCCTTCTGCGCCCGCCCTGGCACTGCGCGCCTTGGAGCAGTCGAAGAAGAAGTCTGCTTCTGAGGGCTTCGGGTAATGCACTTCGTCCTCCTTGCAGCCCACGCCTGCAATGCACAGCTCGCGAGCCCACCACGCCCGCTACCGCTCCTCACTCAAAGATCACACAACCCTAATAGTTTATGCCAGTGTATAGCACATTTAAGCATATACAGTAAATATATATATATATATAGGTTTGTATTTCTTTAGGGTGGCCGGGCAGGAAGGTTTGAGTACGGGGTATGATTCGCAGGTATGATTCGCGGGTATGATTCGGGGTATGATTCCGGGGTATGATTCGCGGAAGCAGCAGCAGCAGTAGTAGTAGTAGCAGTAGTCGCCGAAGTAGCAGTACTAGTAGTAATATTGTAGTAACAATAGTAGTAGTAGTAGTAGCAGTAGTAGTAGTAGTAGTAGCAGTAGTAGCAGTAGTAGTAGTAGTAGTAGTAATAGTACTGGCAGTGGCAGTGGTAGTTGTAGTATTGGGTAGCGCTGGCGGTGGTTGTTGTGGAGACAGTGAACAACACAAAACGGTAGAAGAACAGTAGCATCTTGCAGCATACGTTTTACGGGGTATGATTCGGGGTATGATTCGGGGGTATGATTCGGGGAGGTCCCACCTTTGAAGCAACTCAACACACCAAAAAAGGACAAACCCATATATACATCAATGTGTCACGTATCGTTCCTACTGCTCCGCTGCTCTCGCGCCTTTTTCTTCTCCCATCAAAGGTCAGCGCCGCTCGTGCCCATATCAACCCCCAAGCCGTGAGGGATACTGCTTTGGATCACAACGCATCTCTTGCGTGGCCTGTGCTGAAAGGGGTCACCGGACACTCCGGCACAGGTGCCTCCAACGTCACTGGATGCCAGGACTAGCGTGGGCTGGGTGGGGAAACCAAAAGGGGTGTCTGCCAGTATGGCTTGCTTGAGCCACAATGTCAGACGCATAACAATTGACGACACATGTTCACCCCATGCCTGCCAAACTCTAAACATGGCACACATCAATGTGTCACGTATCGTTCCTACTTCTCCGCTGCTCTCTTCCATCAAAGGTCAGCACCACCGGACACTCACGAATCCTTAAAAGTCCCCCAATGCACTTGAAAGATCCAAAGTGCCAAAGAAATCGCGCGACGGAGGATGGCTGCCACAACGTGGGATGGGGAAGCCAGGCGGGGAATGGCATCCCCCCTGTCGATATACCGGCCGGCAAAGGAGAGCAAATAAACAACACCAGGGACAGCTGCAGCTGTCTTATCTTCCGGTCCCCCGGTCATACAGCCCTCGCTTGGGCTCCACCTTCTTGCGCCTGGTTTGGCTTCCAAGATCTACGGCTTCTGGAAATGGGGGCCTACGGCCGCGTAGGTTGCGGCGGTTGAAAACTGAGCCAATTTGTGCAAGCCTTGAGTTGTTGGAAGCTGTGTTTGCCACTCAGCCACGTCGGCTGTTGCAAGCGAGTGACCGCGCCGTCCTGCATCACGCCGGACGCCGGAGAGGTCACGGTGTGTGCTGTGTAGGTTGCTTCTTATCCTTGGCCCCAACATCCTGTTGAGCTCCTCCAGGCCCACTGACCGGATCTTCCGGCGACCTCCAGTGATGCGAGCATCATCAAAAAACCAGCAGGGGCGCCTCTGCTGTGAGGGCCTCAGCTAATTTGGAACAGCGGTTGAAGCTTGTAACAGCTAGCGGCAACCGCCATACCAAGGCTGGTGTCCCAAAGCGTGCCAGAAGCACACGATGCACCCATCATCACCCCTCATTGTTGGGGGAGTGCGGTATGCATATGGGGGACAGTCACTTCTCGCAGCTGATTCAAACAAGTTGGTCCTGTACCTTGAGGCCAGCGCAGCATGTTGCCGCGGTGATGCAGAGGCTGGATCCAAGTTGCAGGAGCGCGCGAGAGTGACTTGTTTGTGGGAGTCTGGGAGGGAGTGGGCTTCACCTGCTGTTTCCCAGCCGAAAGGCATCATCCTTGCCTGGGCGTAGCCCTGATAACACCACGTCGCGCCGTGGTACGCCGTAGTGCGTCCAACGGCCAGCAAACTCACTACCTATCCGTGGGGGTATGACACATCTGGCTCAGCAGCGCGAGCAACCCGAGCCGCTCTCTGCAATGTGACTACGTGAAGGGCAGGCTTGTGGAACAATCGCCTGGGAGCGGATTGCACGCATCCTCGTCCAACACCGCGTCCTGCTCCAACGGCGGGGTTTAGGGGGGAGGGGCTTCCTTTGTGGTCGAAGTGGTCGTTGGAAGGTGGTAATGCTGCTTTTTGGCGCCGGCTTAGGGTGGTTTAGCGCTGGTTAAAGGTTGGTTTAGGGTTGGTTTATGGTTTGTGTAGGATTGGTTTAGTGTGGTTTAGGTTTGGTTTGGGGCTGGCTTTGGGTTGGTTTTCGGGTTGTGGTTTATGCTTAAGGGCTGGTGTCGGGTTGATTTAGGGCTGGTGAAGGGTTTAGTTTTGGTTTGGTTTGGGGTTGGCTTACGGTGGTTGAGGTTTGGTTGGGGGTTGGGGCTGGTGCGCGCTTCATCTGCATCCGACATACCAGAGTCCCACTCTAGTAAGTGTCTGGAAACCAAAAAGGGTGTCTGCCAGTTTGGCTCATGCTTGAGCCACAATGTCAGACACATTACAATTGATGATACATGTTCACCCAATGCCTGCCAAACTCTAAACATGGCATCACATACACATGTAATACGAATGATTAATGTACATATTGCACACCTTCGGTACGTAGACTGGATATAGCACCCTCAGCTGTGCCAACACTGCGCTACATTACACACATGCGTATCTGTCTCATCCTTATGTTGGTGTAGCTTGTAGACTCTAAGCAGCGCACCCACAGTTTTGCAGCAATAACTCTTCTGCTCTTCGCCCCAGGCGAACTGCCAGTTGTTGACCTCCACCTGCCAAGCTGCGCAAGAGGCCCCATGTCCAAGCTTTCTGCTGGCAAAGGATGTCACTCATTTCGTATTTAAGACAATGTCCCTCCTTTTGGCACCCAACACAAAGTCATTCGAGCGTGGAGCATGCTGGCAACTCAGAATATACAGGCCATGTCAACTTGATCTTGTTACGCAAACCTTGACCGTCTTCTTTTGCGAGCTGCTTCGCACCCTGTGATAAGTGATAAACAGGTTGGCCACCGTGCAGTCAAACTCCTCGTAGCCGCCTCGTGCAAGGGCAATGCAGAAACGGGGAGTCCTCGTTGCTTTGCTTTCCATCCGTTTGAAGCGTGACAAGAGTGGATTTTGAAACGTGCTGCAATGTACTGGAGCTCCACTTGACTGGCGTCAATTCGAAGAGAGTCGTGCAGACACATCAGGGTACAGCACAAGGTCACGATTAAGGTGCCCACCTTCAATGATTCAAGCGCCTGCTACAGCGACATAATACAGGCAAGCAGACAACATTCATGGAGTATGGCTCACACTATTTTTCCAAGAGGAATGGCATCTTGGTGCGCGATACCACCACACCTTTCCATAGGAAGTCTACCTTGGACTGCTCTGTTGCCGCAATTCGTGCATACAAACATACGCGCAGAAACAATCAAAAACAAACATCGAGATACACACGCAGGCGCGCACCCACAAAGAAACCCACCCACACACGCAAAAGCACACACACAC